ATCTATCTATCTACCTACCTGCCTATCACCTCTGGATTGATGTGACAAACATAGAAGCCAAGTCAGAAGGGCTTTGCCTATCACTGTTGTTTCCAAGAGTGAGGTCTGATGGATTTTAGATAACTTTTCCTTTTATCTATTCATCCACAGCTTATACAAACTCTGGGCGGCAGTCTGGGAATGGCATTGCATGCCGTCTGGATGAGAGGACAAAAGATATTCTAAATAGCCAGGATGATGCAGGCAGAGCAAGTTATGACAATGTATCTACCCCCAATCCAGTCCCCTTCTCTTCCCAGAGACACAACATTCACCCCCATTAATTCTGGCTTGCACAGAAGACCCCAGACACTGTCTCTGTCCACGGTACTGAACAAACCTGTAGTACTGGCTTTATGTCTAAGCGTTGTTGTGTTCTCTTTGTGAACCTTTTAACCTCTCCAAACAATAATTTTGTTGTAAAAGGAGAAAAGTACCTTTATCACTGGACTGTTGTGACAATCAAGTAAGGAGGAAACACTGAAAGGATTGATGTGTTTTGTGAGTCCTCTCCTCCTTTTCATAGGAACCTCATCGACTCCTTCCTCGTCACCTCCCTTTTTGCACATGAAAAAGCCAATGACCTCATACTCGGGCATGATACTGACTTTCCGGGGCAGACTCTCATTCATGGTGGTTTGAGTGAATTAAGAAAAAAAAATCAGACACAAGAGAGATTGTCCTTATAATTCTAGCTATGACAGGCAACAGGAGGCTACAGAATATTCTAGAAAGTTTCAGAGCAACTTTGTGGCTTGAGAAGTGTGACTTTGTCCCTTGTCTCTCCTACACAGGGGTGGTGGCTTGGTGGTCTCCAGCTCTGGAGGATGAAGGGACTGGCTTCTTGCCACCCACTGCTGCTCTTTGAAGACATTCTGTTAACTAGACACATTGTACTTATTAAGGACTAACAAAATCAGATCCTCCAGTTTAATTAATAAAACACATTTAGAAGTGATTGTGCAATAAAAACAGTATTAAGCTTCCCATTAAGCCTGTGCTTGTGTTAGTCTGGGTGGCCCCACTGCTGACTAATGTGTGGGTTCCCTTAGGCTTTTAAACTTTTTTTTTTTTTTTTTGCCAAAAATTTACAGACTCTGATGTTTTCCTGTGAACCTTGGACAGGAGTTCATTTTCT